TTCATAGATCAGTAAACTATTGTTGTAATATAATGCCAGTAACACAAGGTACTTTTTAATACTTTTAACTAAAGTTTGTAAATAATTTCGCAATTCGCTTTCATCGAGCGCGACGATTTTTATAATAAACCATTAATAAAAAAAAAATGTCCATAAAAAGTCTCATTATTTTTGCACGCGATTGTAGCTTTGACCTAATACATACCTTAGGACATACTTTATGCATACCTTACATACCTTTTGACCTAATACATACCTAATACATACCTTCGTGGTTAAAGCAGTTTGAAAGATCTGGCGTCAAAACTGGCGAAACAGAGGAGGTACAGTAAAACGTTCATTTATACAGAGCGGCCGATAATTGATTCCTACATTTGATATTTTCCCTGTTTTGTGTTCTCTTACTCTATTCTTATAGTTTTCAAATGTCTTCTTCCTCGCTTTAATCTTTGATTGGGACGGCCTCGGACATGTTCTGTTTAGTTATTTCTCACAATGTCTCTTCATCTCATCTCTTGTTCGTCGACCTTTTATGGGATGTCTTAATGCTAACTTGACTGTTTTATAGCGGTAAATAAACGAGAAAAATTTTCTATATACTAAATCTCATGCAGGCTAAAATCCTCTGCAAGATTAGCCTCTTCTATGAGGAAAAATACACGAATTAAGTGCAAATAAGTCATGTCGCTAGATATTTAGCATTAATAGATTATTTGCCGAATAAACGCTTTATTTTTGCAGAAAAGAATTGGAAAGAAAACAACTTTCTTTGTTTTTTTTTTAAATGTCGTCGTGAGGACTATGAGATTTCTCCACAATTTCGTACTCAGATATGCGACGGCTACGACTTTTTCGCGTCAGCACGGGATGGCGTAAGCATACAGCATGCGTTTCGCTTGGCGAATCTCGTACTCGCGTAGTCGCTGCTAAAGCTCCCTAATATCTCGATGCGTAACGGACGATGATGACCTGACTGAACCTTTCTCTACACTTCTATTCTGAGCATTCTCTTCTCTTAGCTTAAGTACCTTCTGGTTTCTTTTCACGTTACTTCGCCATCTTATCCTCTGTCTCACAACAGTTCACCATCCTTCCACTGAAGATCTCGATGCGTAACTGACGATGATAACCTGACTGGATTTTTTTCTCCACTCTATTCTGAGTTTAATTCCTTCAAGCAATCTCTTTTCACGTTATCTCTCCATCTCGCCCTCTGCCCTTTCACTGTTTATCGTCCTTCTGCCGTTATTTTTATTCTAACTGAAAGCTTGACTGTTAGATATTACTGGTGGGTAATACTCCTCTCGTTTTATAACAAAACCATCGCAGCAACGTCAGCCTCTGCTCTTTTGTCATCATTTCTTCATCTGTCTGTGAAGGATGACACCCACCTCGGTATCTCTATCCAGCTGTTTTTCTTCTTCAGTGTTTACATGTAGTGAAGTAATGTTATTCAAATATTTGTAGGCCATTGATGATAAAATCAAAAATGCAAAGTAAATCTACGAGTTCGAAGCAAAAGGTATTGACGGAACGATGGTATCACTTCCAAAATACAAGTACGTGATAAATTATCAACGACTGAGACCATCAAAATTCCCATTGAAAACTCTTTCCGATCCATATTATGATCAGAATCATGATCATGTTATTTTTGTGATAGCAGGCGTTTAAACCTTAACTGGAGTTGGCACCATCACACTTTCATACGTGGTGTAATAGTTAACGATATTTTTTCTTTGTTTTTAGAGGTTTTGTGACGTTGATCGTCAACGTTGCATCTTTCTGAGGGTTAACTCCCAAGAACTACACAAAGCTCGTGGAACCTGACTCATGTTTCTGGGAAGGAGGCTTGAGAATTATTGGATTTCCTTGCAACCAATTTGGTAATCAGGTATGGCTCGGTCTTTACAAAATCGTTGAACTACTACAGCAGCATACTGCAGTAGGAATTCTGACAGTCACACAGAACTTGTATCTTCTCTCTGTCTCGCATGACCGTAATTCTTTCGTGAGCTTCATGTCAAATATTACAAAAACAATATAAGGTTTACAGATCTATTGCAAACAAAATAGTTTTTAATAGATAGTTAAGATGTTAATTTTTCATTTTTCATACATGACTTATTAACAGTTATTATTTTATCCAAGCAGCCAGAATACTTCAATCACTCCAATCAGTTTGCTAAGTATCCCCGTCATTACAAGTGTAATGCTACAATGCATATGCTTATAATTCTGTGTTGCTTAATGCTTATATGGCCATTATCTACGTTCTTGCTTAATACAAACTATTCATCGCTATATATGCAAACTGCAAGGAGGTAACAAATGTTACATTTTGAAATGAAGTGCGAAAACGTAAGGAATGATAATTCCATTTATACCTACATCTAGTATAGTACATTGGAACTACTTTTTAATCACTATTTTGTGGTTAAATAATAGTTAGCTCTAAAATGCACGATTTTGATTGGTTCCTTTTTATACAATCTTGAACGGTCTGTGGCAGTATAGGTAGTGGGAATGATAACAAAACCCTGGGGTAGTGGGGGTTGGGAAAATTATATGAGTTTTTATACTAGTGAATATAAAAGCGGTCACGTGACAAAAAATAAACCAATCGGATGGATTTAGTCAAAACAAAGTGTAATGTAAATCGTAAAATGTAAATCACATTACATGCAGAATAAATTAATACAAACATACATGCAGAAAGGTACAACCGTTCCCTGAATATATGTTAACTGCTCGTGTAATCATATGACCAATATAAAGCAGTATGATTGGCTAATTAATTCACATTTCATAGGAACCAGAATCCGATGACGTCATCAAGACGTTTGCCGCTGGCTATAATGTGAAGTTCGATATGTTTTCAAAAATTAATGTCAATGGTTCGAATGCCTTACCGCTGTACAAATATTTGAAAAGTCAGTTGAAAGGAACCCTAGGAAGGTACGGTTTTCTGGGTATCAATCCAGGTATCTTGTGAGTCACTGTATCTTGTATTCTCATAAACAATAGTTTCTGCATGCACCCTTCCGCTACAGAATAGACATATAAACACTTGCAGCTCCTATTTCTAGTTTCTAAAGGCTGCATGTCGTCCATCGCTGTTACTTTTATAACCACAATCATGCACATACGTCGTACATTGATGAGTAAAAGTCAAACTTGCAATGGCAAATACAAAAATATGCTCCCGAAAGTCACACAGCCGGATTATATGGTCTGGTCCGTTTTACAGTGTGTGAGCAAACCTTTTCTCCTACTGGTTCTTTTGTTTCTCTACCGGCAGATAATTTTATACTTTCCCACTGATCTGCATTTCTGTTCTGTATTTTAGTTTCATAAAGTGGAATTTTGCCAAGGTAGGCTTGTTGTCATACTAAGACAACTGATGTGATTGAAGTTTGCTTGTACAGTGTTTTTTAGTGTACACTGTACAGTGTAAGTGTGAATGGTAATGCCCAATTTTAACATTGTATTTTTAGTTTCTTTGTAATCGAGACGGAAAACCAGTAAAAAGATATTCTCCAACTACTGCACCTCTTGTAAGTAGAGATAAATATTGAAGTGCCTCAATTTATTTGCACGGATACTATACAAGTGAACGTTTTCTATTTTCGTCTGTATTTGCTTTGGTTCATGAATGGTAATTTTAGGTCACTCATAACAATGAACATGATCAATCTGAAGCAGCCTTAAATGATCTTTCTGTGGAAGACGTTAACGAACCAGATTAACTATAAAAGCCACAGTCATGCATGCATGTATAAAATTATTCACGCACAAGCATTGATGATAAAATGGTACAAATCAATGACAAATCATTGAAACTGACCATCTTCTCCCGTGCCTAGCAAGAATTTTCGCAACTAAGATCTTAAGTTGTATTTGCCAAAACCTAAAACTGAGTGTGTGAAAAGTATTGGTTTAGTGGAGCAAGTCATTTGAATGCCGTTCAATGTCGTACCACTTGAGCTCAGAAATATTTCTCATCATTAATTTTTTAACGGGTTATTTTCTGATACCAGCCCGTCCTAATATGCTTTCTTGATTCCAGTCAATATTTTATATGCTAGTGTAACAAATTCTTTGTAATTAAATGTTTTCTACATAGTTTTTCTGTCTTCACATCCCCCTTGGAAATCAGGATTGGCTAAGAGTTCGGCGTGGGGAAAATAAAGAAGCTAAGGAATATATTATATTGCCGGCATTAAAGGAAGGCTTGCTTGCTTTATATTGCACCCACGCTATGTGGAGAGATATATAGTCGACCCACAACGGCCAAAATAGATACAACAATATTACCCCCCGGTACTGCCGATAGCTTTAATTAAACAAACAGATATTAGAAGGTGACAATAGCAGAGAGATGGGAACCCAACGATTTCCTTTTTGACTGTGATTTCTCATTTCTGTGCCTACACATAACAGTAGCCGATACAATAATATCAAGGTTCCGTGACTTCCGTCAAAGTAAGTCTTTGTTTGTGGTTAGTGTGGAGAAAAAATATAGTTTTAATTTTAATTAGTTTAAATAACCTTTTTCTTTTTAAGGATATTGTTCCCGACATTGAAGCTTTATTATAAACCTCGTTCCCTTTTGTTATAAGCGATACATCAGCCTCGTACCAGGCCCTATCAAGACGATTGCGCGAGGGTCACTATAAGCGCGCACGGGTGCTTGGAGAGGACGTGAAGAAAGCAACCATTCTCGTAGGTTTAAGCCGGTTTGCCACTAGGCGGAATTTTGCGCACGGAGCGGATTGTCTTGTGATTTCTCGGGTGGAACTAATTAGGAAAGACAAAGAAAAATTCCGCTCTGTGCGCAAAGTTGCGCCTAGTGGACAACTGACCGGCTTTAGTGATCCTCGGCGCAACTTTCGTGAAGACGTCTGAATGAAATGAAAGGTAATTTAAAAGAGAAAACATTTCTGAGAACATTTATCGACTTTTTGTGCACACTTTCTACTGTTGTCTTTGACTCTATGATAACAAATTTATAAGCTACATTTTGTAGCCGAGTTTGTTGGATGTTCGTGCTCAGTCAGATAGCAGTATGTGTACATGTTCCTAGACATTAAACAAAATATACTTTCTGTAAACTATGTACCTTGCATTAACTACTAATTTTTTAAGCCGGCAAATCTCTGTGTGCTTTGAGAGTTGCCAGTTTAACAGTGGAAATAAACGTCATCCTTATAATGATATAGTCAACCCCCAAATAACTCTCTTAAGAGGACACCGCTTTTACCGAACAGATTTTCTTCCTTTAATATTTCGTTGAGGGGGGGGGGGGAGCATCAAAGAAAAGCGACCTAACTAGGAGGTGGTAAACTGGAAAAGCGTGGCATTGTATGAGGGGGTCTTCCTAACCTCTGGGAGCTAGCGTTTAGATAAAGTTTTTTTTAATAAAAAATAAAACCGAGTGACTATGATATAACATTGGCTATGAGATAACGTTGGCTATGATATAACGTTGGATATGATGTGACGTTGTTCAGGGTTGTGCCTACTGATATCAAAACAACAACTGGATGAAGCCCATGGCGCATCAATAGATAATTGCCGACATGTTGCACAGAGGAGGGAATATATTGCCGGCAGTAATTAATAAAATGTTCTAAAATTCATTAAAAGACGTTTGTAAGTCGCTTGCTTGCTTGCTTCATATCACACCCACGTAATAGTCACCCACAACGGCCTACAATAGATAGAACAATCTTACCCCCGGTAACTTAAACAAACAGATATTAGGAGGTGACAATAGCACAGAGAGGGAACCTAATGATTTCCCTGTTGACCGCTTCTCTGCCTACACATATACAATAGTAACGATATAATATCAATTAAGGTTCCGTCAAAGACTCAAAGTAAGTCTTTGCTGGGGGTTAGCTGCGCCAATAGCGGCGTTTCAGAGG